ATTAAACTTCCTGTCACGGACCTGGTTACTCTTAGCCGCCTTACTAGTATTGTTTTTGTAATGATCCTTCTTATGAAGAGGACATTCTTTAATGAAGTGTCCAGACTTTCCACACTTATGGCACCAATCACTTCCTTTGAAATTCCTGCTGGAACTTCCTTTCTTTGGAATTCCACCATTTTCTCGAATCATCTTTTGGAATATTCGAGTGAGATACTCCATGTCGGATTCATCACTACATGAGTCATTATTGGCAGCCTTGAGAACCAGGTTCTTCTCTTTCTTGGGCTCTCTTCTTTCAAGATCCTTCTTTCTCTTCATCTCATAAATTTTGAGATTTCCAATAAGCTCATCAATAGTCAGCTTCTGTAGGTCTTTGGATTCAGTGATAGCATTAACCTTGCTCTCCCAAGAACCTTGTAGAACACTGAGTATCTTCCGAACCAGCTTGTTGGTTGGTTGGTTGGAATGATTTCACCAAGTGAATGAAGCTCATTGATTATGGAGGTGAAACGGGTATGCATCTCTTGAATGGACTTATACTCTTTCATTTTAAAGAGTTCATACTCAGTTGTAAGCATATCTATTTTCGATTGCTTTACCTAAGTATTCCCTCGTGAGACATTTCAAGAGCTTCCTAGATTTCCTTGGCAGATTCACATGCCAAGATACGATTATACTCGTCTGGTCCAATACCACACACAAGAATCTTCTTCACCTTGAAGTTCTTCTCAACAGTTTTTCGGTCAGCATCATTGTATTCTTTTCTTGTCTTTGAAATAGTTCTTTTTCCCTCTCCAACAGCCTTCATGGGGACAAAAGGACCATCACAAATCACATCCCACAACTCTGAGTCCTCAGCCATGATGAAGTCATGCATTCTTGTTTTTCACCAACCATAGTATTGGCCGTTGAATCTTGGTGGTTTGTACGTTGATTGTCCTTCCTCAAAGTTTGGTGGAGCAGCCATGTAGATCTTTTCTAGGTGTTAACCTTTTAGAAAGAACCCGCTTTGATATCAATTGATAGAAACTAAGAGTCCACCAAACACTATAGAGAACCAGGTTCTCTATCAGTTCCCACAGTAAGCAACAGACTATAAAACCAAACAGTATAGGGAACCAGGTTCTCTATTTGTTCCCACAGTAAATCGGCAATAAATAAAGAACACGCGATATTTACGTAGAAAACTCCCAGCTCACGGAATTAAAAACCAGGACCTACCCTTGTAGGATTTCAACTTCACTACTGAGCAAACTTTAGATTACAACCTATTATAACCTAGGAATTAACCTCTTAATACCTCACTAACTTGTAACAACTCTATTACAAGCCACTTTGTAATAACTCTATTCCAAAGACTTTACAACTCGACAAACTATAGCCAAGACACAAACACAAGGGTTTATGATTTACAAAGGGTTTCCTACACAATGCTTCTAACTAAGCTAAGTAGGAGTTACAAATGAAGAAAAAATAACAAAGACTCAACAAACCTAAGCACTTAAGATATCTTCAATCTTTGGATCTGGTCCTTGAGGTTGCAGCAGCTTTGTTCTTTAGAGAGGTTGTAGCTAGCACTTGAGAGAATATTATCTTTTTATTTGCAAGTGTTAGGGCCATGAAATCCCTTGCCTTGTGTTGATAATATGTGTGTGTGAGGTCATCAAGGGTGATGTAATAAAGTGTCCTTTAGTTTGGCCTTAGCAAGCTACAGCTGTATTGCTGTACTGCTGCCAGACGGTATAGTGCAGCAGGTTTAACAGCTGTAGAGTTGACTGTACGACCAAGGGAACTGATCCATATCTTTTCCCTCTATTGTTCCCTTATCTGATTTCATTGAGAATTGAACTAGACATCTGACTAGTTACTCTGAACGCAAGAGAACTAATTATATCAGGTTCCTTATCTAGTTCTCTCATGAAGTTTGTCAAATCATCAAAACAAAAGACGCATAATTTATCAAAGTCCTTTGGGCATATCGCACGACTTCGAAATCCAGTACCGTAGCTACTCCATTCTAGCTGTTTATGGCGCCGAAGCTCTAATACCAGTCGAAGTCGGGGAGCCAAGTGTCAGGTTCTGATACACAACAAAGGAATCTAATAACGAGGCCATGAATATGAGCCTAGAACTATTGGATGGGAGGCGTGAAGATGCCCTTGTTCGATTGGCTGCACAAAAACAACGAATCAAAAGGTACTATAATCGAAGGACTGACCTTCAATACTTTACCATCGGGGACATAGTATTGAGGAAGGTCAGATTGAACGCCCGGAACCCGAACGAAGGGAAGTTGGGCCCAAACTGGGAGGGTCCCTACCAAATTCTCGAGGTCACCAGGAAAGGATCCTACAAGCTCGGAACGATGAACGATGAAAAACTACCAAGCAATTGGAAATGTAACTCACCTAAAATGATACTACTACTAAGGTACAACCTCCAATTGTTCCCTTTTATTTATATTTTAAATTAACAATTGTAGGTAACCGACGAAGAACCACAAGAAGTTTAAGGTCTGAAGTACGCGTTGCACTCTTTTTTCCTTGGACCGTTTTTTATCCCAAATGGGTTTTTTCGGCAAGGTTTTTAATGAGGCAATAGTGGATCGTGCTAAGTTAGAATAGTGGATCGGTGTTAAATGTTGCATCGACAGTATCTGAGGCTTCTTTCTAGAATCAACCTCGAATACTAGGAGGCATCACCCTCGGATATCAGCTTTAGCAAGGAAAGTGCATCATAATGAAAGGTCCTTGATAAGACGAATTTATTGTAAGGGCCAAACGGCCAAACAAACTGTGCCCGCACAGAATGCTCAAGCCTTAAGCATAAAACATGTAATCGTGTAAAAATGATGTACACAAGAATGAAAAGAAGTCCCTCAAGGAATTTATTGCATCCGATTTCTATGAATATATCGAGCCCAAGGGCTATCTTAATTCGAGTTTGAAAAATCATTCTCGCTCGACTACAAGCCGAAGGGCTACCTTTATTCGAGTTCGAGAAATCATTCTCACTTGACTACAAGCCTAAGGGCTACCTTAATTCAAGTTCTAAAAATCATTCTCGCTCGACTACAAGCCTAAGGGCTACCTCAATTTGAGTTCGAGAAATTATTCTCGCTAGACTACAAGCCCAAGGGTTACCTTAATCCGAGTTCAAGAAATCATTCTCACTCACAAGCCTAAGGGCTACCTTAATCCGAGTTCGAGAACTCGTTATCACTCGACTAAAAGCCTAAGGGCTACCTTAATTCGAGTTCGAGAAATCATTCTCACTCTATTATAAGCCCAAGGGCTACCTTAATCCGAGTTCGAGAAATCATTCTCACTCGACTACTAGCCCAAGGGCTACCTCAATCCGAGTTCGAGAAATTATTCTCACTCGACTACTAGCCCAAGGGCTACCTTAATCGGAGTTCGAGAAATCATTCTCACTCGACTACTAGCCCAAGGGCTACCTTAATCCGAGTTCGAGCAAATCATTCTCACTCGACTAGTAGCCTAAGGGCTAACTTAATCCGAGTTCAAGCAAATCATTCTCACTCGACTACAAGCCTAAGGGATACCTTAATTCGAGTTCGAGAAATCATTCTCGCTCGACTACAAGCCTAAGGGATACCTTAATTCGAGTTCGAGAAATCATTCTCACTCGACTACAAGCCTAAGGGCTACATTAATTCAAGTTCGAGAAATCATTCTCACTCGACTGCAAGCCCAAGGGCTACATTAATTCGAGTTCGAGAAAATCATTCTCATTCGACTACAAGCCCAAGGGCTACCTTAATCCGAGTTCGAGAAATCATTCTCACTCGAGTACTAGCCCAAGGGCTACCTTAATCCGAGTTCGAGAAATCATTCTCACTCGACTACTAGCCTAAGGGATACCTTAATCTGAGTTCGGGCAAATCATTCTCACTCGACTACAAGCCTAAGGGCTACCTTAATTCCAGTTCGAGGAAATCATTCTCACTTGATTACAAGCCTAAGGGCTACCTTAATCCGTGTTCGAGAAATCATTCTCACTCGACTACAAGCCTAAGGACTACCTTAATTCGAGTTCGAGAAATCATTCTCGCTCGACTACAAGCCTTAGGGCTACCTTAATTCGAGTTTGAGAAATCATTCTCGCTCGACTACAAGCCTAAGGGCTACCTTAATTCGAGTTTGAGAAATCGTTCTCACTCGACTACAAGCCTAAGGGCTACCTTAATTCGAGTTCGAGAAATCATTCTCACTCGACTACAAGCCTAAGAGCTACATTAATTCGAGTTCGAGAAATCATTCTCACTCGACTACAAGCCCAAGGGCTACCTTAATTCTAGTTCGAGAAATCATTTTCACTCGACTACAAACCTAAGGGCTACCTTAATCCGAGTTCGAGAAATAATTCTCACTCGACTACTAGCCTAAGGGCTACCTTAATATCGATTTCGAGCAAATCATTCTCACTCGACTACAAGCCTAAGGGCTACCTTAATTCGAGTTTGAGAAATCATTCTCACTCGACTAAAAGCCTAAGGGCTACCTTAATTTGAGTTCAAGAAATCATTCTCACTCAAGTACTAACCTAAGGGATACGTTAATCCAAGTTTGAGCAAATCATTCTCGCTTGACTACAAGCCTAAGGGCTGCCTTAATTCGAGTTCGAGAAATCATTCTCACTTGACTACAAGCCTAAGGGCTACCTTAATTCGAGTTCGAGAAATCATTCTCACTCGACTACTAGCCTAAGGGCTACCTTAATCTGAATTCGAGCAAATCATTTTCACTCGACGACTATCTATCAAGACTAAGGGCCACCTCAGTCCGAGTTCGAGTAAATCCTTCCCACTCGATGACTATATATCAAACCTAAGGGCTACCTTAGTTCGGGTTCGAACATTCACTCGGGGACAACAGACCAGAAAAAGTCTTTGGTAGTCCTTACTTCGGTCCTTACCATCTCAATCTTGTTAAAATAAACAAAAAAATGAAGGATTCAGAAGCCATGGAAGGGAAAAGTTTTATATATATACATCAAAATCTTTTACAAGGGAAATACGGCCCGATGGAAGTTCTTTACAAAGGCCGAGCAGCCTCAAAAGAAACAAAAACTATTCAAGAGCCTAAATGGCCTAGTCATCTTCGGGAGCAGCGTCTCCAGCGTCTCCATCCTTCGGCTTCGCATAAGCCCTTGGAGTCATCATCATCCTGGGGACAAGCTAACCTCCTAGCCTCATCTTCGAGCTCCTTGGCGTTCTCAATCTCGGTTGAGAGGTCGAAACCATGAGCATGGATTTCCTCAAGGGTCTCCCTTCGAGATTGACGTTTGGCATACTCGAAGATATCTTTCGCTCGAGCCTGAGCACCCTCGGCATCGGCCTTGTAAACAGCCACCACCTCATCAGTATTGGCCTTAACTGCTTTGGCTTCCGACTTGGCCGCTTCGAGTTCCATGACCAGGCTTTTCCAATCAGAAATTGCCGAATTCAACTAGGACTGAAGCTCCTCGATCTTCTTGGCTTGCGCCAAGGACTTCTCTTTTATACCTCGAAGTTGGACTTCAGTCGATGTCAGTTGGGCCCGATCAGTCTCCTTTTCCGAGGCCAGACGGTTCATGTTCTTTTTCCGTTTGTAGGCCTCATCCTTTACTGCATCCACCTCTTCTCGAAGCTGCCTGATTATACCGATCTTTTGTTGGACCTGGGGGTTCAGACCGTTAGTCACCACGCCCGATTCATCATCGGTAACTTCAAAGATTCTTTTTACCTGCTCGACCAGATCGGCATCCTCTTTTTGAGCCATCTCTAATTCAGCTCGGAGGCCCTTAACCTCCCCATCTCTCTACTCACTGAGAAGTTTGTAAGCATCCCTTTTCTCGGTGAGCCCTCGGACCTCGGCCTTGTACCGGCTCAGCTCTCTTCGGAATCGAAGAAAGGCCTCGTGATGAAGAAACGAATCCTACAAACACAGAGAAAGAAGTTATATAAGAAAAAAAGCATTAATTCAAAATTCGACACGTCAAAGAGATCTAGTATTACCCAGTTTAGCGCATGTTGAGTGTCACACCTCCTTTTCCTACCTGAAAGGGTATAAGGGAGTTTTTCCAATTTAAGTGACAATCGAAATGGGATTATTTAGATCAAAATCAGAGTCGCCACTCGGGATAATTTATGGTGTCCCAAGTCACCAGTTTAGAATCCCGAATCGAGGAGATTTGACTCTGTTATACAGTCCGCAAAATACAAAAATCCAGGTAAGGAATTCTGTTAACCCGGGAGAAGGTATTAGGCATTCCCAGGTTCCGTAGTTTTAGCACGGTCGCTTTGATCATACTTGGCTTGATTAAATTGTCTAATTACTTATTTAAGAACCTATGTACATTTTTACCTCTTACCGCTTTAAATTAAGAAATTAACTTGAAACGAGTCACGCGTACGTGTACTCATTTCATTTGGCGCGTAAAAAAATCATGTCACGCGTACGTGTCTACGATTAATCACGCTTTATTATTATTAAGAAATTTTGTTAAAGTTGCGCGAACGCATACCTTTGTCCTAATTTTGGAACCCGTTATACAAACATACTAATAATAATAATAATAATAATAATAATAATAATAAAAATAATAATAATAATAATAATAATTGTTCTAATTCATGAAAATGAAACACTAATGGATGTTCTCATATTTGCACACATGTGTTATGAAACAGTAATTGAATAAAGACTCAATCCTGAACAAGATTTAAGAATCCAAACATTTCACAATCAAACAAAAAGGTTTTTTGGTTAATAAATTAGTAACAAAACCAAAATCAAGAAAAAAAAGGAACAAAATGCAAAAAGGATGCTGAGTTGCATGAAGAGAGAGAAAGAAAGATTGGTGTTTATATCAAAAATGACAAATTCTATACCTAAACTACTGTTAGGATACATAAAGAGAAATGGAGTAATAACGTGAAAGAAGGAATGGACCTTTGAAACCAAAATTGCTTTACGAATGCCTCTGAGTACGACACCGAAAAGCAAAAGTTGACAGCAAAACTTGCACTAAATTGAAAATTGATTCATGCCTCTGGCCGGACCTTGAACCGAAACCGAACCACGTTGGGTCACTCGAACTCAAGCTCTAAAACCTCAAACAAACTTCAGGAGCGAAGATCGAAGAGAACAAAATTGAAGTATTTTTTTTTTATATTTCGAATCTGGAGACAAAAAAAATGAATTTGCATTTTTTGGTTTTGGGAACTAGAACCAGAATTTTTGGTCTTCTTTTTTTGAAATTGAGAAACAAAAGAAGAAAAGGCAGAACCCCCAAAATTAAGCTCAAGGTCCTCTAGGCTTTTCCCCAAGTTTTCCTTTCTTAGTCTCCGTCGTTCTTCCCCTTTTTTCTATGTGTGCGTGTTTCGTTCCCTTTTTTATCTTTGGCGTATGTAGGGGAATGAGATCAGGGGTGTTGTTGGAAGCCGTTGGTGGGGGAGATGGGGTCAGTGGTAGCTGGAGATCGGTGGTCTCTTAGGGTGTGAAGAAGAAGAAGTCCAGGCGGTCCTCTTTTTTGGTTTTTGCGGCTCGTCCCTCTTTTAGGTGTCTCTAGGTTTTTTTATTTTGTTAAGAAGAAGAGTCTAGAAGGGTCTCTAGGGTTAGCTTAATGAGTATTGGGTATTGGGCTTGGATTTATGGGCTAAGTCCGAATTGGGTCCTAAAATGGCTCTAAGACTCTTAAAATTGTGGTCCAACACCTTAGTTAACTCCCTTTAATATAAGATAAAAATAATACACAATGCAAAAACCAATTCTAATTAACTAAACTATATTAAAATATGAAACTATATTTTTTTTTGTATTTTCAAGATTATATAAAGATAAAATAAGGCACTATTTTTGTATTTTTTAATTTTTTGAAAGGTACATAAACTAAAAGTAACTAAATAAAATATCAATTAGCTAAAAAAAAGAATAAAAAATTTGTAATTTTTATTTTTGTTATAAAATAAAATAAAATAGTTAAAACTAGTTAAAATAACTATATTAGACCTAAACTAAATAATAAAATGCTAAAATGTGTAAAATCTTGGGGAGGGTCAAAAATTACATGTCTACATTGAGCTTTATTGAAAAGGCAAGGCACTTCCACCTCATCCATCTTAGCTTGATCTTCTTCGGTCACCAAGCACCGAAGGTAGCTAGCCACTCCTACGGGGGCAGAGAGGACCCGAGCATCCTCCGGGACCGAGATGATAACCGATCGCTTTTGATCGGGATCGACGCTTGGAGCTGGAAACTGGTCGGTCAATTTAAGGCTCGAGGAAGCCTCACTTGAACTCTTCCTCGACACTTCCAAGTCACCCAGACGGGTGACATCCTTCACTCCGACAAAATAGCCACGAAAAGGGTCCTCCTCTCCATGGTCATCCGCTCCATGGACCCCCCTGACATGACAAGTCTCCATTGCCTGAGCCTCTATAATCATCGACTCAGTAAATGAAGGGGAATCATCAATGTCTATTACACCGAGTGAATCCTGGGGATGTTGCCCTCATCCCGGGAGGCCTCGAACCCGGTCTCTGCACCGGCCCCGATCATAACCTCCTCATCAACCTCCCCACCTCGAGGCAAAGCGTCCTAAACCCTTTTGGGTCCGGGGGCTTCGGCTAAAGCTCCCCCTTCGAACTCCCCGAGTCGAGGCAGTACAGTTTCAGCTCTCACTGGCTCGGGGGTTCCTTGAACCATGGCGCCCGATCGCGTATGAGCTACCAGCTCAAAAGATTCTTCTTCTTCTTCGGACTCATCCCTCAGTTGTTGGACAAAGTTCGATGGGAGGGCACCGATGCTTCCTTTGTGTTCACCCGCCTGCTTCTTTTTGGGCTTCTGCTTTTCTGAGTTCGGGGAACTCGGAGCCCCTTTCCTCTTCTTCTCTTTGATATGCTTCAGAGCAGATGGTCGGGGAAGGACGTCTTCATCACCGGATGGGGGCCTTATTGCAACATCCTTTCTGAGACCTACAAAGGAAAAAAGATGAGTAAGCTCAAGAAGAAAACTCGTACGATGACCATTATTAACCAGAAAAGAGAAACTTACCATGGTTAAGGGCCTCCCACTGACCCTTTGAATGTTCGTGCCATGTGCGTTCAGAATACGACCTCTGTGACACAAGGCCCCTGACCCACTCCTCGAGTCGAGGAACCGCATCCGGCATCCAAGCGATAGCTGTATCGGGAAACGCCGATAAAAAAGGAGGGAAATAGAAAAACAAAATAAACAAAATTTTAGAGGCAAGGCTACACTTACGATTCATGTTCCATTTCTCGTAAAATGGCATATCCTCGGCCGGGATCAAGTCCGAGGTCTTCACTCGAATGAATCGACACATTTAGCCTCAATCCCGATCCTCATCTATGCTCGAGAACGGTGCCTTGTTGGCCAGGCTTAGTAAGTTTTATTAGCCCCCCTCGATAGAGTCGAGGACTGTATAAATGTGTGAGATGATCGAGGGTGAAGGGACACCCCTCTATTTTGCTTACAAAGAAGCGAAGAAGAATCACCATCCTCCAGAAGGATGGGTGAATTTGACCGAGGGTCACTTCATACTTCTTGCTGAAGGCGATAATAATCGAGTCCAAGGGACCCAACGTATAGGGGTAAGTATAAACACTTAATAAAGCCTCCACGTGGGTAGTGATTGCTTCTTCAGGCGCGGGCACCACCACATGTTTGTCGGCCCAGTTGCAATCCTTTTTACCTTGGAGAGGAGGTCATCGATGATCGAGCATATATACCTCGAGACTGGCTCGCATCGACCCGGTACGGAGGAAGTCTTTTCAACTTTGAAATCGACACTGGTCGAGCACCCTCCAGGAAAGAATTCTTCGGGATGTGGCTCCGCCGTCGGTTCGTCACCGGACGGCCGTGATGAAGAAGTGGTTTCTTTTTGTGGAACTGTTTTTGAGGTTTTAGCCATTTCTTTTTGCGGGTAAAGAAGAATAAGAAAAAAGTTAAAAAGGGATACTTGGTATTTAGAGATGAAAATAGGCAACGGAACATAGATATCTCAGGTACAAAGCTCTGAGAAAGGCAAAGATCTTTGGAGGAGAAAATAGAGAAGGTTGGAAAGAAAAACTTGAATAAATGGAGAAGAGGATACTTATAGGTTTCAAATGGCGGTTCAAATTCGGTAGTGGCCGTCTGGCCGACCACTGACTGACACGCATTTAATGCCTTGAAGACTGTACCGACAAGACTTTTAAGTGACCTTTTGTCGCTTACTTCACGATTTATCGAGGTAAAGACCGAGGTCTCATATCGTTTCTTGTCGCTTACTCTCCAAAAAATGAGGGGGCTATCTATATATAGGTAAAATCGAGCTCGAGGCTCGATCGGGCATTTGAAGCAATTGACCAGAGTCAGAATATCTGTTAAATTGAAGTCACGTGTTACACCGGTCTCGATATTGAAGTTCAGGGTTCGATCTAATGTCCAACATAGTCAGCCGAATCAGAGTATGATAATATCGGACTCAAAAGCACTATCGAAGCCGGCCATTGCGATCATCAGACATGCCCTCGAGTTTGCCGAAGGCGTAATCGGTTCTTTTCTTAATGGCCTCGAGGAAAAGACCTGCCAACTCAGCCGATAGAGATCCATAATTCTCGCCATTAACTAATTATTATGGCATAAATCACAGGATTAGAAAAAAAGGGAGCCAACAGTCCAGTAAATGAAAGACTATTGTTTTTTATAATATAGTACCTAAAAAGGTAGGTTTTCCCCCAATAAATAGAGGGGATTGAGTTATTAATTGGCACATTGTAACAAATTTCAAAGAGCAATACATTGTTATTTTCTAGCTTTATCACTGATTCTACTCTCTTATTCACAAATATCATTGCTAGCTTAAGGAAGATTAATTTCACAAGGCTAAAGGTTACTCAATTTATTAAGGTTGTACTTACCTTTTTGTTATCTACTTCCGCGTTAATCTAATTTCTTGTTCTTGTATCAATTTATATCACGTATCCTTAAAACCGCGTACAAATACAATTGTTATCCAATTTTAAGGGTAAACAAATCCAAAGAGAACCTTCATACCAAAGCTTAGCTTCCACCGCCTCTATCTTCTTCCTTCATGTTACAAAACAACAGTGGTTTCATCTTCTTTGTAACACATTTCTGGGTTGTGAACCAACCCCCCCCCCCCCCCTCAAGTTGGCGGGGGAAGAGAGGACCCCCAACTTGCACAATAGATTGCGATGAACAGGGCCGATAAGGGATTTGGTAAACAGTTTTGCCAACTGAGAAGTAGATCGTACAAAGGAGAGTGAAATTAAACCGGCGAGATATTGTTGACACACAAAATGGTAGTCAATCTCGACGTGCTTCATCCTTTCATGAAAGACGGGGTTTTTAGCTATATGGATTGCAGCTTGACTGTCGAAGTGAAGGTGAATAGGAAGTGAGATGGAGATGGAGAGATCTTCGAACAATCGGACCAACCAGGTGAACTCTGCAACAACTCGTCGCATGCTACGATACTCAGCCTCGACAGAACTGAGTGAGATTGAGGCTTGCTTCATTGATTTCCATGAAATAGGAGAAGAACCAAGTGATATGAAGTAGCCATTCACAGATCGATGAGAATCTGGAAAGGAACCCCAATCCGAGTCGCAAAAGGCCAACAACTCAAAAGATGAAGAGGTTGTCATAAAAATTCCAAGACCAGGATCTCGTAACAGATAATGTAGAACTCGAAAAGCTATATCAAGATGAGGTTTTTTGCAGATCTTGCATGTACTGTCTTAAATGCTGGACCGCAAAAGAGGGATCAGGCATCGTATGTGTTAGATAATTGAGTTTTCCCAAAAGATGCCGATACAAAGTGTAATCTGGTGTGGCAGCACCAACCTTAGAATGTAGCTTAACAGATGGATCAAGACGAGAAGAAACAGGGCGTAGATGCAGTGAATTGAACTCCCGGATAGGATCTAGAGTGAACTTTCGCTGAGGTTCGCGAACAACTTCCATTCCTAAGAATAAATGTAAGTCTCCATGATCCTTTATTTTGAACTCTTGGTCTAAAAGTTCCTTCAGAGCATGTAGTTCTGTATTATCATTACATGTTAGAATTATATCGTCTACATAAACAACAACACTTGAGATAGAAGAGTCTGTTTTCTTGAAAAAGAGAGAATAATCGTTTAAAGAATAAGTGAACCCTTTGAAATTCAAGGTAGTGGTCAACTTTGCATACCACTGCCTAGAAGCTTGTCGAAGTCCATAAAGAAACTTTTCCAACCTGCAAACATGTTTAGGGGATGGAGACATAACACCAGGAGGGAATTTCATATACACCTCCTCATTTAGGTCACCATGCAAGAATGCATTATTCACGTCCTATTGGTAGATTCCCAAATTCTTTTTAACTGCTGCGTCAGAAGGCATCTGATGGTAGTCATTTTGACTACTGATGAAAAGGTTTCATTGAAATCGATACCTTCACGTTATAAGTCCCCCCTAATCACCAACCTGCTTGCAATCTCTCCACACTACCATCAGAGAGGTGTTT